GAACCTGCCACCTTAGGTGTATGTGGCTGGCGCCTTAGCTGGTTGAGCTATAGGCGCCGAGCCTAATTTTTTTTTTTAAGACAAGAGTCTCACTATGTCACCCTCAGTAGAGTGCTGTAGTGTCACAGCTCACAGCAACCTCAAACTCTTGGGCTTAAGCAATTCTCTTGCCTCAGCCTCCCAAGTAGGTGGGACTACAGGTGCCTGCCACAATGCCTTGCTATTTTTTTTGTTATAGTTGTCATTGTTGTTTGACAGGCACAGGCCGGGTTCGAACCTGCCAGCCCTAGTGTATGTGGCCAGCGCCCTAGCCACTGAGCTACAGGCACTGAGGCTTTTTTTTTGAGACAGTCTCACTTTGTTGCCCTAGGTAGAGTGCTGTAGAGTCATAGCTCACAGCAACCTCAGACTCCTGGGCTCAAGTGATTCTCTTGCCTCAGCCTCACAAGTAGCTGGGACTATAGGTGTATAGGTGTCTGCCACAACGCCTGGCTATTTTTAGAGGCAGGGTCTGGCTCTAACTCAGGCAGTTCTCGAACTCCTGAGCTTAGGCTATCCGCCAGCCTCAGCCTCCAAGTGCTGGGATTACAGATGTGAGCCACCACCCCCAGCCTCAGACACTAATTCTTATTGGCCTTTCTCTAATTAAACCCAATAAGGTATTATTTCCCAAGAAGCCTCATTTCCCACCTGTATACCTAGAGAAAGATTTTCCTGTGAGCAAGCTGAACCCATTGCTGGGCTGTTGACATTGGAGGTTTCTAAGTACCCACTTGCAGTGGTACTGCTGTCTGAATAGTGTACCAGGAGAACGCTACATCTGACGTACCAGGTGACCACAAACGTCCATGATGCAAATTCCTCCTGCTCAAGCAGAGCACCAGCTCCACGAAGGCTGGAGCTTCATTCTGCGGAAGAACAACCCCTCAGGCCCACAGGACCCCACAGTGTTCAGAAATCACACTTCTCCTGCGAGACCATAGAAATGCCAAGATGGCAGAGAGCAAGTCCTGTGATGTCAAACCCTTTTGTGCTTTATATATTCCTAGTGCCTCACCAATCGGTTGACATGGTATGTATCAAATCAAAACGGAATGGTTTTTATTTGCTACATCGTCATCTGATTCTATTAAAAAAAAAAAAAGACTTCCATCTAAAACTACTGCTATTGCCTCCCACATTGGGGGGCACTTGGCTGATGACTAGAAAGAGAAGCCCACCACCTGTTAAAGTGTCCTATCATAGATTCCAAATTCAAATATATATGATGTCGCCTGTGTTCAGCCACTGTTCTTTCTTTGGGAAAATAACCAAGAATGGACAAACTTGCAAATGAACATACTGGTTGACTGAGTTTTAAGCATCTGCTTTGCTCCCCAGATGGTAACTACTCTGTATGTACAGACTATTGTTTACTGTTAGAAAGCAAGGGGGTGGCGACTTCTCTACACAGCTGCTAAATCTCATTTAGAAAACTAGTTAAAGCAAATATAGACTTCTTTTGCATGTTGCACATCATCACCTTCATAACTGGTTCCTTCACTCAAGATGTAGCTTGCTTTCTAGAGTTGTCAAAGGCAACTCTGGGGCTGGGTGTGGTGCCTCATACCTGTAATCTCAGCACTTTGGGAGTCTGAGGCAGGAGGATCGCTTGAGATCAGGAGTTTGAGACCAGCCTGAGCAAGAGCAAGACCCCATTGCTACAAAAAAATAGAAAAATGGCTTGGCACCAGTAGCACAGTGGTCACGGTGCACGTGCACTGAAGCTGGCAGGTTCGAGCCCAGCTCGGGCCAGCTAAACACTAACAACTGCAACCAAAAATAGCCAGGCATTGAGGTGGGTGCCTGTAGTCCCAGCTCCTTCGGAGGCTGAGGCAAGAGAATTGCTTAAGCCCAAGAGTTGGAGGTTGCTGTGAACTGTGATGCCATAGCACTCTACTCTAGGGTGACATAGTGAGACTCTGTCTCAAAAGAAAAAAAAAAGAAAGAAACAGAGCTGAACAAGTTGGCCAGAAAATGGCCACAGGCTTTTGGAAAGTCTCATCTTAGGTCAAATGGTAGATATTCAATTCAGTTACATGATCACACACTGCTAAAGATTCAACACATAGGGCCATCTTATAATCCCTATTAATGGCAATCTAGATATTTTATTCAATCTTCCAACAAGCCTATGAGGAAAGAACACTGTTTTCTCTTCATACATGAGGAAATGGAGGCTCTCAGAGCTCATATGGACTTTTCAAGATCCCACCAAAAAGTGGGAGAGCCAGATTCAAAGCCCAGCTTCACTATACTACACTGCCTCAGATGGTAAAGCAGTAATTACACCAGTTTAGAAAGAAAGATGAGAACATTTCATAAGTACTACAACAGAACTCTTTTATTAGACATGAATGCATTTACTTTGTACAAAATGCAGTGATACTTCTTCCTCTCCTCTGCCCTTGAACTTCATGTTCATATAAACATGCTATCATGACAAACAACAGTCATGACAAGCAGGTGAGGGAAAGTGCAATTCTGGAAGTAATATCACAAACAGTGGGAAACAAAAAACAGGAAGAGGCCAGCGTATTACTTGGCCCACAGAGCCTCGTCTCACTCTTCTTCTTTCAGTGGGAAACATTTTAGGAACAGAAACACCCCAGCATTATTTGAGTACTCTTATGGTAGCAGCCTTCTTTATTCTATCTGTTCTGATGCTGTAACTAGCTTATTTGTAACTTCTTCAAGAAATTTCACTCCGGGTGATAGCCCTGTCAATTATACTTGGAGCAAACAAAACAAAACAAAACACAGAAGAGTAGTAAGTTTCAAAAGGATGTCAGCTGAGACCTTTACAGATGAAACCTACTTCCCAGAAGTCACATGGCCAACATATGCACAGCTGGAGAAAAAAGACTATGAAAATAGGATCAGCTGGAAAATAGGTCCCCAATTTAGATCCGGTTATTCTGCGTCTGTGGATTTAAAGTGATCATCATCCACAGTAGAATAGATGTGCCCCTCATTGCTCAGAAAATCCACAGCTTGCCTAGAAAGAAAACAAAGTTCATTTTCAAACCAATGCAAAACTGCCTTTTGGATATGGACAAATACGCAAATTTCACTTACTTTCAACTATCTGTTGCCCCTGGTAGAGTGCCGTAGCATCACAGCTCACAGCAACCTCAAACTCTTGGGCTCAAGTGATTCTCTTGCCTCAGCCTCCCAAGTAACTTGGTCTATAGGCGCCCGCCACAATGCCCAACTGCTTTTAGAGACGGGGGTCTCACTCTAGCTCAGGCTGGTCTCGAACTCGTGAGCTCAGGGAATCCGCCCACCTCAGCCTCCCAGAGTGTTGGGATTAGAGGTGTAAGCCACCATGTCTGGCCTCCAACTTTTATATTTTAGCTAAGAAGAATTCACAATGATTTTGCTCATAAAAGGCTCTTCCAGGAAGAAATGTCAGTAAAATTGCAAAACTGATGTCATCCATAGAGATAATGGCTATGTAGGTCCCTACCAAGATAGACCACGTTATGGTCCATTATTTCACTTCCAAGAAATACAGTTGACAGTCTTTTCTTATTCACCTGTGAAAGTTTCACCTTGCTAGGCTTATCGGTGTTGCTGGAAGGGCTTCATTTGTTTCTACCTGTGTGGATTTTACATTTCTTTTCTTTTTTGAGACAGAGCCTCAAGCTATCCCCTTGGGTAGAGTGCCGTGGCATCACAGCTCACAGCAACCTCCAACTCCTGGGCTCAAGCGAGTCTCCTGCCTCAGCCTCCCAAGTAGCTGGGACCACAGGCCAGCTATTTTTTGGTTGCAGCCATCATTGTTGTTTGGCAGGCCTAGGCTGGATTCGAACTCGCCACCTTAGGTGTATGTGGCTGGCGCCTTAGCCACTTGAGCCACATGTGCCGAGCTGATTTTACATTTCTTGATTTTTGTGTATCTCAAAACTTTTGTAATGACCTACGTATTAGGACTTAAGAAAATAGGGCCATTCTTACACACCAGCCTAAGTAAAGTGAGACAAGGACCAGATCTGCAGTCAACCTTACACTTATGTGTAAAATTTCATAGTATAAACAGCTATCTTTAAAAGTCCCTCCTTTCACCCAAACACTGAAATCCCCTTGCTCCCTCTCTAAGAAGTAAAGGAAAGGTCTTTTAAGAAACAGTATGACAGGCAGTGCCTGTGGCTCAGTGGGTAGGGCACCGGCCCCATATACCAAGGGTGGTTGGTTCAAACCCAGCCCTGGCCAAACTGCAACAAAAATAGCCGGGCACTGTGGTGGGTGCCTGTGGTCCCAACTACTTGGGAGGCTGAGGCAAGAGAATCACCTAAGCCCAGGAGTTGGAGGTTGCTATGAGCTATGACACCACAGCACTCTGAGGGCAATAAAGTGAGACTCCGAGAAAAAAAAAAAACAGTATGACACTTTTAAACTCTTCAAGGCCTGCAGGGTCAGTGCCAGCGACATATTTAATAACAGCCAACAATCTACAGAGCACCTACTATGTGACTATGATTATGCATCTTTTCATCACAGCAACTCTGAGATAAGAATTATTATTCTTATTTCACAGGACAGGAAATAGAATTAGACCTGAGCATTTCTTTTCTATTTGAGCCTAGAATATCAACTGATTTACAGTAATAAAAACTATCACAAGCACCATAGTACTCAGTTTGTCTGATTAGTCCCTTACAATGGAATTAGGAGGCTGCTTATCCATGATGGAATCAGGGTAAGATGCCGGAAGGACTGACTGTTTAATGGCTTCAGGACCAGATACCCTAATATATCCACAGTGGGGACGGTAACACCAATGGGGTATACACCTGAGGACTAGGAGCTAAGGACTTCACTCCTCCAGACTAAATCCCATGAAGTATCAGAACAATTTTTGCTAAGAATTATATCCACCCGCCAGCCCCCCATAATGGACCTTGGTATTTGTTGAATGAACAAATGAATGAGTGATGTGATGAGTAATACCATGTCTAAACAACTTCCTGTTAACTGCTTTACTTTTTAAACTCACTTCTCATTGCCAGGAAACCCTGGTGGGGCGGAAAGGGTATAATTCTGGAGCCCTACCTCATAGAAATCAAATACTCACTTAATTGAGGCTACAGGCATATGTTTCAGTTGGTTCTTGAGATCATAAAAGTTCAATCCCTCAGGTCTTGGACAAGCCTTAATCAAATTCAGCACCTGAAGATTCAGATCAAAAACATTTTAGCAACTACTTTGAATCAGCTCACCCTTGCAAACCTGAGTCCCTTAATAAGAAAGAAGTAAGCTAGGTACTTAGACTTAGATCACCAATGAAGTAATCAAATTCAAGATCATCTTATTCACATTTTTGGAGCCACTCAGGTGGCATTTACCTGGTTTTGAGCCGCAGTGAGGCCATTTGCTGGCATGAAGCTAGTCCCACCAAAGCTCCCTGCTTCACTCATTCCTGGATTGCTGATGGGTACTCTCCCTGGTGGGGGCTGAATTAAGAAATAAATTCATAACATCAGAATATCCACCAAGTCTTTACTATTTCAAATAGCTTGTTAATAAGCAGCTTATATGAAACAATTTAAGCAAAGTTTTCCCAATATCAAATTACATAGGCAAGGATAGTTATTACCTAATGAATATTTCATAGGAAGGTAAAGTAACCCCCAGAAGTAGATAATATCATAGAGAAAGATATTTCAGATTCCTTTTCTTCAGAAAGGAACCAGAGGAAAGGAAACAGGAAGAAAATTACCTGGAGATCTGCTATAATGGTGTCCTTGGGGCTCAACCATTCATTGTCAACTAGGCAAAGAAAGGAGACAGGGTCCCCACCATCTTCTCTTTACTTCTTTTTTACCACCAAACTTCTTTTCTTTTCTTTCTTTTTTTTTTTTTTTTTGAGACAGAGTCTCACTCTGTTGCCCTGGGTAGAGTGCCATGGCATCACAGCTCACAGCAACCTCTAACTCTTGGACTCAAACAACCCTCTTGCCTCAGCCTCCCAAATACCTGGACTACAGGCACCCGCCACTACAACTGGCTAGTTTTTCTATTTTGAGTAAAGACAGGTCTCATTCTTTCTCAGGCTGATCCTGAACTCCAGCAATCCGCCTACCTCGGCCTCCCAGAGTGCTAGGATTATAGGTGTGAGCCACTGTGCCTGGCCAACCACCAAATTTCTTTTCTTTTTCTTTTTTTGAGACAGAGTCTTAGTCAGTTGCCCTGTAGAGTTTGATGGCATCATAGCTCACAGCAATCTCAAACTCTTGGGCTCAAGCAATCCTCTTGCCTCAGCCACCCAAGTAGCTGGGACTATAGGCTCTCAAAATAATGCCTGGCTATTTTTAGAGACAGGGGCTCTTGCTCAGGCTGGTCTTGAACCTGTGAGCTCAAGCAATCCATCTACCTCAGCCTCCCAGAGGGCTAGGATTATAGGTATGAGCCACCTCACCTGGCCTTACCAAATTTCTTAAAATATTCTATAGTCATCTTTTTTTTTTGTTTGTTTTTGGCCAGGGCTGGGTCTGAACCCGCCACCTCCAGCATATGGGGCCAGCGCCCTACTCCTCTGAGCCACGGGCGCCACCCCATTTTTATTTTTCTTTCTCCTTAGTCATCCGTCAGTCCACCACTGTTTGGATTCTCCCCAAGTACACCTCTCAAACTGTCCTCATCAAAGTCATTAATGATTTTTCAACCAATTATCCAAAAGTCTCTTTCAGGTTTCATAATACTTGACCCTCTCAGTTGCAGACAATGCTGCCCACATTCCTCTTGAAATGTGTTTCTCCTTAGGCTTCTTCACACTATATTCTTCCGGTTCTCCATTTGCTTCTTGAACTAATCTCAGTATCCCTCTACTATCTCCCAAACGGCTGATGGGCCCCTCGGATTTTATCCCAGACACCATCTAACCAGATACCTCAACATAAATATTGCAGACACTTCAAAGTAAAATAAAATTCCTTTCTTTCCTCTCCAAACCTGCTTGCTCTTATTATATTCCATTTCAGTTAGCAATCTCAAACACATCTCCACTCATCTTCCACAATCTGTCACACCACAGTTTGTTACTTCTTAGTGTGTAGCTCTAGTGGGTCCTCACCACTCTGGTCTCCTGGTTCCTCAGCCCCTAATCAACCCTTCCACAGCTACAAGTCATAGCCTCCTCTAGTCATGCCACTCTTCTACTTAAAAGCTTTCAAGTGGCTCCCTCTGCCTGTGAAATATAAAACTAGATATTCTAGACCCACCACATCTAGAAGCCAATGTCAAAATCCATATTTTATTTTATTTTTTTAAACTTTTTTTTTTTTTTTTCTGGGGCTGGGTTTGAACCCACCACCTCCGGCATATAGGGCCGGCGCCCTACCCTTTTGAGCCACAGGTGCTGCCCCCATATTTTATTTTTGACCACTCCATCTCAACACATTTACTTCCCAGCTACCCTTGGACTTCTTGCCTCCCTCAAACAAGCTTCTGATCTGAACATGTTTTTACCTGTCTGGAATATTCTTCCTCTTCTCTGCCTGGTAAAGACGCATCTTGTTCTTCAATCCTTCAAAGTCCAATTTGATTGCCACTGCCTTTGTAAAGCCTTCCCTGCCATTCCCCAAGCCAAGTTAGTCATCTTCTTCCTTCCTGGCTCTCACAGCATATACGGTCCAATCCCTCTCACTGCACCCAGCAAAAGTAAGACCCCATCTCTACTAAAAATAGAAAAATCTGCTAGGAATCATGCTGGTGCCTGTAGTCCCAGCTTCTTAGGAGGCTGAGGCAGGAGGACTGTTTAAGCCCAGGAGTTTGAGGTTGCTGTGAGGTAGGCTGACACCACAGCACTCCAGCCTGAGCAACAGAGCAAGACTCTATCTCAAAAATTAAAAAAAGGTAAATCAGACCACATCACACCCTGGTTGAAAACTTCTAAAGGCTTAGTACCAATTAGAACAACTTTCTAACTTTTTTCTAATTAGAATTAGAAAGTTGATCCTTACCGTGGTCTACAAACCCCATGTGATTGAGTCCTGCCTCCTCACCTACATCCCCAACCCTTCCTTTGTCATTTGTAGACACTCCGCCCTTCTTGCTGGTCTCAGAGATGCCAAGTTTGTTCCAGCCTCATGGTCCTTGCACTCCTATTCTCTAGCTTGGAATGTTATTCCTCTGTCTAAAACTGTACTATGCTTGTTCTGCCATCACTCTCGTCTCTATTTTATTTCAAATGTAAATTCAAATTCAAAGTTTGTGTTCATTTGAAAACTACCTAAAATTATACATCAATTTTCTTGTTTATTGCCTTTTTCTCCCAAGAATGTAAACTTGAGGGGGAGATGTTGTATCCATCTTGTTCACAGCTGCATTTCAAGAATAATTGGCACAATGGAGGCTCAATAAATATTTTTCAGATAAAGGAATAAGTTTATCTGTGGCCCTGTGGTCAACAAAGTGCATGGAACAGAGTAGGATGCAACAGTCTTCTTAATGGCTTATCAGTTTTCCACTTTCTATTTCCGTAACCAATCCTCTACTTTGTTACCTGAGTCATTTGATGATCAACAACCCTGTGCATGGTTCTAGGTGGATTTGCCAAAGTCAATTCACACAACAGAAAATAATATGGAGGCTCGGTGCCTGTGGCTCAAGTGGCTAAGGTGCCAGCCACATACACCTAAGGTGGCGGGTTCAAATCCAGCCCCGGCTGCCAAACAACAATGATGACTGCAACCAAAAAATAGCTGGGCGTTGTGGCGGGCGCCTGTGGTCCCAGCTACTTGGGAGGCTGAGGCAGGAGACTCACATGAGCCCAGGAGTTGGAGGTTGCTGTGAGCTGTGATACCACAGCACTCTACCCAGGGGGACAGCTTGAGGCTCTGTCTCAAAAAAAAAAAAAAAAGAAAATAATATGGAGAAATTTTGGGGCAGCACCTGTGGCTCAAAGGAGTAGGGCACCTGCCCCATATGCCGGAGGTGGTGGGTTCAAACCCAGCCCCAGCCAAAAACTGCAAAAAAAAAAAAAAAAAATATGGAGAAATTTCAATATTAACCAAGAAATGTCATTTCAGGGGAAAAAAACTAGTACATAATTTTTCCACACAGCCAATAGGTGGGAAGGAAAGCAGCTAAATGCTGTCCTACTTGGGGTTTTCTCTGAACACAGACTGAGAATCCTGGTGCTAAGAAGTCAGTCTGTAATTATATATCTATACCTGACGGCTGTTTTAGGCCTCAGGCATCCAGGTTAGTGGGGTCAGAGGAACTCATAATTCTGAGAGAAACAACAGTGCTCCATTGGGAACAAAAGACCATGACAGAGCTCATGAAGAAAGTATTCTGAGACTGAGTGATGCCCTTCTTCTGATCCAACCTTCAAAATGGCGAGGAAAGGAAAGCTGGGGCATAAAAGCAGTCTACATTCTTCCAAGGAATAGAAAAAGCTAGAAGGGTGAAGCCGCTCACCTGGCTGTTAGCTTTGCTCAGCGTCATGTGTGCATTGACCACTTCCAGAATATGTGCCGTAAACTCATTCATATCCTCCAGGGGCATGATCTTAAAGGCCACCAGGCTCTTTTTGTTCTATTAAAATGAAGAGAAAAGTGTGAGTAAAGCATGAGCACATTTGGATCAATTTCAGGTCAAAACACTGTGGCTCTTTTCTCAGTAATATTATTTTGCCAGTAGGAGAAAAATGTCTGTTACATACTTAAAATTTTGAATTCAGGGACAATCCAAATACAGTCAACAATGAGGGGAAAAAAGCGAAACTAGCTCAGTTATTCATGACTTTACCAAGGTTCCACAACTGAGCAGAGTCTATTTTCCTGACTGAATCCAGTGTTTTTCCTTCTCCACCTAACAGATGCCATAGCTGGCATTATATGTGGAGAATCTGTTCTCTCCCCACCATTCAGTTAATTTTATATTAAGGTAAAAACAAGTTACTTCCTTTGGAAGAACAGAATAATAAAATAATGTCCCATTAAACATGGAGACACCCTAAGCGTCAAGCATCCTAAACCCAGACATGAATCCAGAAATTGCTTCAGGCAAATTCATTTTAACTGCTATTTTATTCTGACTTTACCTGAAAAGATCTCAGGTGGCCCGCCACTTTCACATACGTTTCTGGAGGAACCACAGTGTTTTCACTACCAGTGTCCTAAAGATAAAATACAAACATATCACTAAGGTTTTAATGATGCTGGTGAAAGCCTCTTTAAAATTTCTAGGCCAAGTGCTGTGGCTCTTAACTGTAATACCAACACTTTGGGAGGCCAAGGCAGGACAATCACTTGAAGCTAAGAGTTTGGGACTAGCCTGGGAATATAGCAAGTCTCTGTCTCTATAAAAAATAACAAACATGGGGTGGTGCCTATGGCTCGGTGAGTAGGGTGCTGGGCCCCATGTACCAAGGGTGGCGGGTTTGAACCCGGCCCTGGCCAAACTGCAACAAAAAAGTAACTGGGCATTGTGGCAGCACCTGTAGTCCCAGCTACTTGGGAGGCTGAGGCAAGGGAATCACCAAAGCCCAGGAGTTAGAGGT